ATATATATATATATATGTATATATATAATATACATGCGCCTCAGTTTGAAGGGATGGCATTTATTCTAGAGAATTTTGAATGCCAAAGGGATCGACGGCTGACGTCAGCGCGTTGTCTTTTTTTCTAAGTTGGTGGCGCTCACTATTATGCCATCACGCCAAGGTGGTTGCTAGTCATCGGTAAGCCTCCCATATCTGATTGCTGTTTTCATTCCAGTGGGAGTACAACAAGGTCGGTGGTTTGCACATAGTACAGAATCTGACTACCCGTGAACAGCCTGTGCTTACATCCTATGCACAAATATTCGGTGGATCAACTACCGTTAACCGGCAGAATCAGTGTCGGCTGCCATGTATTAACACACACCCTCCAGGATGCAAGATGATTATGGCAAACGATCATTTGTGGTGAGGGAAACTAGTTACTGGACTATGTAGTAAGGCTGAAGTAACAGCGATCGAATCCCCCACTGACGGAAGTCATATCGGTGAAATAGGAATTTTTCACACTTCAATCACATGTTCCGTTTTATAAGAATGTGGGTGCGCCTTGTTTTCGTACAGATTTTGTGGAGCAGAGGACTTGCTAAAGGTTAGTTCCGTATTAAACTATTAGAGTGCCTTACTATTTATCACTGTTTATTACAAGGCACGGTACAGGAAAACTTAATCGGCTTCAAAGATCCATTGTCATGATCGAAAGTGTAGGTACGTGGATCGACGCCTGTTCCTAGTTTGGGCCAAAGTGTTTTACCTCAGATTAGTGACTCGGGTCGTGTTTCGCCAACAGCTCAATTTGGAAATCTGCTTCAAGTCTATATACCTTCTTGGTGAAGTGCCCGAATGGGAGAAAATCCCCAGATTAACTGATAGCTAACTTACCAGGACGCAAATTCCGTGAAGGCAGCGCGTGATCGCGCAAGGATGAACTTCCCGGAGGCAGTTGTCCAGAAGACGTCCAGCTGGATAGCTTTCAGGTGGAAGACGATCATATTCTTGCTGACACTTGCACTGGTAACGAGATGTGTTCCAGTCAGGAATACATTCATTGCCATCGAGAACAGCACACGCCACGTTCCCCGGGAGCGCATTTCCAATGGTCATTGTGCAAGGGTTTTTGAGCTATTTAACACGATTGGAAACAGATATAACGTGTTTCTGTCAGGTAAAAGGAATGACCCAAAGGATGTGATCTTGAGAGATAAGGACTTCTATGTCCACACAACCCCTCTGTAGAATAATCCACCTTACAACAGACTAAAGTTGAGCGAGTCATCAATGTCCACAATGCAGAATCATTCATTCCCTTCCCTCCGTAACGGCATCTCTTCTCACGAAAGACTGAATTCCTGAAGTTTTACCTAGATCATCATCACTGTTAACAACTTGCCTGACGTTGCCACTTTATTAAACGCTGTTGAACGGTACCCAGTAAGCCTTTGGATCCGTCATTTTTACTTGTTATTTTCACCTAGAGAAAATAGTTGGAGCAAATGCGTAATAATAATATGACGGAATGAAGTCATGGTGACACTGCAACTTTAGACGATAATCGAGAGCACATATCCAGAGAATCGGCTAGCTGATTGAAGGCAATCGGATTTGGTTGCATACAGAAAACGATGTTGCCACTGAGTTTTAAAGCAAAGCGTCAGAGAAATAAATCAAACATGACCTTAAAAGATTCTCAGAAAGTTCTATAGAAACCGTCGAGTTGCAAACACACGTGGCCCCGTACTTTAAGCTAATCACGAAGTCTAATTTCCTTGCAATAAAAATGCCATTTCACTTGATATATGGGACAACGATAGATCGACACGGTTTTATAGGCTTTACGCAGAAAAACTAATGTGTGTTAAGCATGGATATCTTTAATGAGCAGGTCCACCGGTCATAGAAAACTCTTGAAACCCACTCAGTTATCTCAGACGGAAACCGATCCATAGAAATCATCCTCAGATTATCGTCATCCCTATCGAATGCAGTAGCTGTTGGAGCCTAGCAACGGCCCATTCGTATCCGTCTGCATGAAGAAAACTTTGTAGGTAGAGGCCTGAAAAACGAAGGGTTATGAGATATTTTTATCCCAAAAATCTAAATTAAACAAATCAGAGGGACGCTAAAGTAATACCATTATTACTGTTAAGCTGTGGCCTCATCATTTTTTGTCTTTGCTCCAGTAATGCCAGAGTCATGACGACCTTAGATAAACGGCTAAATCGATTAACGTTCTCCAGATATTCCATAACTATTCTCCAAACAATAAGATCACCTGAACTTCGTCCTTTCAGAACTAATAAGGACTGGTTGCTGCAATTATTTTCGTGAGAGATTCATCTGTAAGATCCTTCTCAATCAGTACCTAGTTAGTACTTAGTTATCGAGATTTGGTGAAAGCTTGAAACGGGTACTTCTACATGTTTGTATTCTCGTCCGTTTAGGATGTTAAAAAGCTTATGTTCTTACCTTTTCACAATACGTTCCATAGTAATTCGGTTTGCACTCACACTCCCACATTTGTCTGCTGGAACTGTAGCTGTGATCACCTAGGTGAAGCTGCACCGCCTTAACATGGCTTGTACCAAATTGATTACAGGGCGTGGCTGTTTTCTCGACGGCGGAGGAGCAAACTTTGGAGTGACTCAACCATTGGGCGCCCGGAATACAATCACAATGGAAACTTTCGTGATGAGCAAAGTAACCTAAAGAAGAAACATGACAAACGCTATTCTTGTGAATTATAGATAGGAGTAATTGGTGGAATATGTTACGTTCATATCATGAATAATATTGGTCCCAGTTTGAAAAGCAGACTTCTACGACAAAACTTGGAATATGAGGATTAGGAACGACTCATAAGAAGTGGCATAAAAAATGTTTCTCTGCGCCATGTCACTAATTGTAGGATGGATCAATCCAATGCTTAAGCTGTTTGCAGGAGTTGTGGCAAATTATGATCCGGATACCGGTTAAACCAAACCACAATGCAGTTAATTATTATCGTTGATTCCTGGGAAACGTTTACAAGAGACCGACTGCACCTTCTCGCAAATAATAGTATCACTGATACCGGCAAAAAACGAGGTGCCGAAATTTCTAATGCAGTCATACTCCTCTGGTGAGACCAAGTCGAGGTAGTCTAATCAAGATCCGAGAGTGGGTGGGTTGAGCTGTAAAGGTGGCCACAAGGGGCAAACAAGAGCTAGATTCCTCCCAAAGTAATCACTCCAGACGAATGCAATGCACGTGAAGATTTTAAATGATAAACCATATAGCCTCCATTGAATAATTCTGATCTAACAAATCACCTATACTCCCGGAAGAATATCAGAACCATAGAAGAGGCAAAGGTTAGTGACATGTTTCCTAACCCGCTTACTAAATATTTCGATGCCTAATTTTGCGTCAAGGATAAACCTAATCCAAATAGCGCTGAGTGGATTTGCGTTCAAGAACGCTTGTATAACTTTCACATACTTGAAGTTTTTACATCCACGCATGATCGGGATACATAGGGTGAGTAGGCAGCTGGATAACTGCAAGGGTTGGTGTAACGGTTGAGCTTTACACGTTTCGCCTCATCCATTCCGGGACCCTCACGTGCCCCACAAGGACTCGGACAAAATCTGTAGTGATCAGGAGACAGGGACCAGATCCCTTCCCGAAATTGTTCAGCACTCTTGAAATGCTGTCTCTGGAGGCATAGGAATGTCATGAACTGCATGCGTGATTGTGTAATTGAGGGGACCAAAGCGCGGATTGTGGCTGCGTTCTCTTCTTCCATTCCGTGGTAAGTAGAAAGGGCTTCTATTTTGTCTTGAAAGTGTTCCAGCATCCAATACACCGTATTGAACTCATAACTGTCGCAAGTGGCTTTGTCAATCTTCTTTTTTCTGTACATCTGAATGTGCTGTAACCTTTCTGTTGGGCTCTTTGGTGGAGATACGACTGGTAGGATTTCACTACCAACTGAACCACTTTCGTATCCTACACGTGCCCTGTATTGATCATCCGACGGTAGGTTGTGTACCAGTGTGAGCTGAAGATACGAATCTTCAACTATCTTTTCGCCCGGCTGTTTCTCACTCTGTGCGCTTACAAGTGCAAACAAACCGAAGTAGCAGAATAGCTGGAAAGCAGAGCAGAAGAGAAGCAAATTCAATAGTAGTGACGCTGCTGCTGGCCTGACCATCATTTCACTCTGGTGACGGGTGACTACAACTGTTGATACGCACATCAGCCCTTCCAGGGTAAATCATGCTTTTACTCGATCTTACCGCAGAGCGCTTTCCATGCCAAAAAAATGACAAGTGCGAGGTGAACTAAGGAATCAACGTGGTATGGTAGTTTGTAACCATAAAGTTGGAATTTTGTACGAGGTAGATCCTGGTCGAATGACCTTGTAGAAGTGTACGCTTATGTAGCAGTTCAAAGACGACAGTTGCAAATGAGTTATTTATGTTTGATTTTCTATCATCGTAAACTGAAGTAGGTATTGGGCACTAGAACTGCACTGGTAGTTCATACTTGATTTATCGTAAGGCGTTTTTAAACCCCAATCACTAAATACCTACAGACGCCTTAGTAAAATGATGTTTACATTCCTGTTATTCCGTTAGGAGAGGTACAAGTACTCTAAGTGCAAATTACCCAGTTGTAAATGGGCAGAGTTCTCTAATGTCAGGACTGGAAGAAATTTACACCGTTATTTTACGGGCATTGTCATATGTGTGAACCATAGGAGCTGTTCGCCAGTGCACTCCTGACTAACTTTCCAATGCTACGTAGGCTACCTGCATTGTTCTCCATTCTTTCTTGGCCAGGATTTAAATTACACATCCATGAAACCAGCGAATACCTCAATATACATGCGTCTTTATTATTTTAGTTCCCATTTTAATGGTCACAACAGAAGTGGTCTCCAGAATTTGCCCAAGAAACAACAGCTTAGCGCTCCCTCCAGTTCTGCGGTAAGAGTTTTACCGTTCATTCAGTGATGTGTGAGTACGTCCTGAGAAATTTTGATCATAGCATCCTAACTTCCCCTCATGTGCAGGATCGTGACAACGAGAGATTCAGTTATGTATCCCGTTAAAACCACATTTATAAGCAAAGTTCTGTATTTGTCGATAGTAAAAACCTTGTTCAAAATACACAAGTTACCTGGTCGCCTAATTACAGTCCATTCTACCGGCTGGTTTCATCCCTATTTTTGAGATGTAGATGCTTAAGGTTCTCTGGTGATAATATCCAAGTACCTCATCAAAGCGTTAGTCAACCCATAATTCGGTGTATTCGAACGCAGTGGTAAGACGGGTATTAAATTTGCCACCAAAATCATGCTTTCTCATCAAAATTGGAGGGCACTCGTTCTTTACAACAAGATGTTTTAACGGCTGTACTACCCCTTGCAATGTGAGATAGGGACTGTGTCTAAACTCAGACCTACCACTTTATATGGTCTTGGCACTCTAGGGCTCCGTTTGGGGCTAAGGCCTTTGCAACACCTAGAAAAGTCTAACCATGATGGAGGGTGTGCTATCCCTTATTTCTATGAGCCCGTGTTAGTGTAAAATACTTTGGCAGTATTATCTTGAATACAGGTGCTTTTCACGGACTACCGAACGGTTGCCTGGAGGTCTAAAATAAGTCTGCTTCCAGTTTTACCAGTTTACGTGTAGTGTATAGAACCAAATGATGACAACCAATT